AAAGACAGTGCAAAAAGGGCAGTAGTGCAAACAATTATGGATATAACATATAATAAAGAAAATAAAATAAAAAAATTGAATAATAAAAATAAAAATAGAATCATGATAAAGGTAATGATAGTAGCCTATTATCAAAAGTAAGTCCACAAATAAAGAGTTCGAGTATTTGTGTTTTGGAGACAGTGGAGCGGGTATTGCTAGTTGAACGCACAACGCGCTCTGTGCTGGACTTTACACCTGCTTTGATCTGGTGCAGGCATAAATGCGCATGCGGTGGAGGCGCACTCTAAACTCACACTGGAGAAAACTGGACTAGTGGATATCACAAAGACACGCAGTTTAATTTATTTCATGTTTTGCTTAACTAATTCTTTGAATAAAACTATTGAGCTATAAAGGGGAAAAACGCAGAAGAAATTTCCCGTTACATTAATTTTAGCACAGCTGCCACTCATTTTCACATTAGTTTTTGAGTTAGGGATTAATATTAAAGTAGCCTAGTAAAAATGTCTATACTATAAATAATATTATAATTTATTATATCCATTATTATTATTATTATTATTATTATTATTAATATTATTATTATTATTTTAATTATTATTATTAAGCTATTGACCTTATTCTAAAATGCGGAAGTGCGCCTGTTTTCGCGATTGTCTTAGAACTTCCGATTCAGTCGCCTATGGGAGAAATGACTAGGAATAATAAACGGCAGAAAATGGCCAAACTACTTGCTCAACAAACAAATGTTTGCATGACTACACAGACCAAGTAGCATATTATAATAAGAAAATATTAAATTGCAACATCAAGCAGCGTAACGAGCAGTTGTTAACGTCAAAAAAAGAATGGAAGTGAATGTGACCGGAAGTCGCGAGACAAAAAGATTCAAATGGCAGCGCCCACTCGACAGCTGAGAATAAGGTGAATACAATTGACAAAACGCAGAACAAAATATTTGCTTTCATTTTGGCATAGCTAAAGCACACGTTTACAGTTATGTAAAAAAAACATCCCCTTCTACAGCAGCAGTCAATTTAGGACACTTAAAAATGTCTTTTGCGTTTAAAGATGATCGACCTGCGAAGTTATGTTTACAGTGTTGTAAAAGAAAAAGGTAGGCTATTTAGTGCGTGTGGATTTACCGCGGATCCACCTCTTGCGCTGCAGGCTGAATAATATAGGTAGACATGGCTTTCTGTTTGGCTACACTAATGCCTAAAAATGTAACTAAGTAAAACATTAATTTTAGAAACTATTTTTAAATGGCATTTAACATTTAAATTTATTTTTTTATTTAATGTAACATTTAAATATAATTTAATTTAAAACATTTATTTTTTCCTCGCTGATTTTGGTTGAGTAATAAAGCGTGATGACTCAGATGATCTAGTTTAGCTTGCATGTGTGGGCATATTTTGACGTCTTTACCTAAAACTTTACACATTTATAATGTTTAAAATAAAACGGAAAGAAATAAGGAGACTAACATAATTTAAAGCACTTGTTTGGTGCTTAACATTATCTTTCTGCATTAATGTAAACGGTATCGTTGCCTTCATTAATAAAATCGGTAATAGCAAAACTGCATATTATTATTACTATAAAAAGTAGGACTATATCGGTAATGCAAAGTAATGAATTAATAAATAGCCTAAATAAAAGGAACAAGAAAGGACCAAATTCAGTCGTCAAGTGCAATGGGATTGCGCCCTTGCGCCCTCAGTTATGATATCCTGCCGCCGGGCCTGCTATAGCGAAACTTTATTGTTTGAGAAGAAACAAAAGCGGAAACTGTGGATGAAAACCTGGCTGGGAAGATGGTGACAACATGAATTTTCTGTTCTTCAACGAGAAAAAAAATCGCAGACAGGACACAATGACGCCGTTTATTATACAACGCAGGTCGTGTTTACGATCAATAATATTAACAACTAACATTAATATCATATCAATAACTCCTCTTGCTTTAGACTTTACCTTTTAGAGCTTGTTCTTGTTGGCGCAATAAGTTTATTGCATGTATAGGGTACGAATCAGATTATGAAGAATGATTAAGAGCATGCTTTTCCTTCATTGCATCCTTTCCGTAAGGTGTTTTATTTATTTTTTTATTTAATTTATTTATTTATAATTTTTTTAAATAATGATGACAATATTTACTGTCTAAACATTCCTCGGTATACTACCAACAAATTACGCCCCTGTACCCAAGTAGCCTACCTAAGTTAATTTACATTTCATGTAAAATTAAGAAATAAAAAAAGACCAAAGTATTATGCTAAATATTCGTACAAACGAACATGTTTGTTTTTTAACTTTCGTTGATAAAACAACACAATACAGCATAGGCTAGTTAAATATTAAATAACTTTAACTGCTTGAAACAGTAAACGTTACATTTTAAAAACTTCTCAAATACTAATCAATAATAATATAAATAGTAACGAAGAACAAAAATATTAGCCTATAGGCTTGTAACAACATAAGTCAAATGTTGGAAAAAAAACTGCGTCTCTCTGCCTTTTCTTCTATTCATATTTTAAATTATTTGCCAGAAAAACTAACATGTTGACTTTGTTCGGTTTAAGCGGAGACTTATTTGAGATTACAATGTTTCCAGCAGCACTGAGACTGTGTGCCTGTAGCCCATACAGATACTTTTTCGCAACCGTGGCAAAGAGAGTATCTTGCTCCGCCGCCTGCATTTCTCGGAAACCAGCTCTACATTGTGGATCGGCGCGTTCTCAACTACCAAATATGCTGCTCCATTTCTCATCAACGTCTACTATTTATCAGTTTCTCTTTTGTATTTGCCCATTTTTGAAAAGGCCTCTCTACCATACCTGGCTGACTAGCTGGGCATTTGCGTTCAGTAGATGACACCGGAGCTGGCTCCGCATGTCATGGCTGGGTGACATTACCACAGATGGCTATGGAGGTTCGACGTGTTTGTCCATTTAACACTTATTTTTCTAAACAAGCCCTACAAATAACTTCATCCTAATTATTGATTCGCCTTACTCGTTCGCCACGAATCCAAAATGTTTCCAGATTGGCGATGTAATATAAGTTTTCCAGCAAGGTTCATGGCTGAACTTGAACTTGCTGTATCACGTCTAAGTTAACGTTATGTTCATAAATGTATAGGCTATTTGGCAACAAAACAGAAAATGTGTGTTCTAGAGTGATTGTCGTCACGGTGACCGTCACAGCCCTTACATATGACATTGCATACATTTGCATACATGTTTTAAGCTATAAAATGAAAGCCTCAGTTTGGTGCGGAGTTATTATTATACAAAAATCAAGAAAATCTTTGGATTTGTTTGATTCGTAGATTGCAGGCTATTTTAAAAGCTGATATTATATAAGAACTATTAATAACTGTAATTTTCAAAAAATAAAAAAATAAATAAAAAAGGGGTTTGTTGGTTGTAGCCCACCCTAAATCATCAACAGCCTGCTTTTTTTAAGTTTATGAAGCGGCTCCATACAGCACAGAGGTGATCTGCATCAGCGCTGGTTATTGTCAACACTGTGTGAAACTGTGACGAGAAATATCCTTCTTTCATTTTGCTTCTTTGGCAAAATGTGTCTGTAGAAACGTGTGTTTGCATGTGTTACCATCCCAAGAGTTAACAAATATTTGTTGTACATTTAGGGGCCGATCACAAAGCGCACGCCTTTACGTTGCAAAAACGCGCGACGTACCGCGCTGCCTTTTATGGTTGACAAGAAAAAAATAAGCCTCTTTTGTATGTCACTAGAAAACGACTGAATTAGCTGGTGTGCGCGAGTCGAGTTGCTGTCGATGTTATAATTGTAATTTTAATAATATTGTGATATTTAAGATCTATAAATACAGCTCTGGATAACTTGAAACAGCGACCACAAGTCTCTCCTCAGTCTTTAAAAGTTTATCGTACTCACATTGACAACCCAAACCCCGCTGTCACCTCAACAGAAAGCCTGCAGTGCTTTCATTTGACTGAACAATGAAACAGAGGTAACACGCTTTTTCCACTCGAGCACACAGCGCGCAACGGCAAAACTTAAAGCGCGCTGAGCAAGCATAAGCAGAGCGTAAAACACTGGCGGCAGTCAGTAAACCATTAAACAGATGCCCCGTATGCAGACAAACTTTAAAAATGTATAAAGCATATTTTAATCGTTTAACTGATACCATTCATCGGTTACAAACGCACCCTTTCGGTTATTGCTTAATCAGTTATTTTGAGCATCCCCAACTAAACCGCATGTGCAAGCTCTATTTTTTTTTTCTCTCACGGCCGCACGCCGGAGATCCGGCATGGTGCCGGAATACTTTAAGCCCTGGTAAGATCATGTTTATCACTATAAGAAAACTAAATCAAAATTATATTTTAATTGAACACATCTGATCACATAAGGTACGCACAGAAAAGTCTGTTTAGTGTTGTGAAAAGGCAAAGCTGAATATCTGTGGTTAAACTGCCACCCAGCGGTCAAAAGCTGCTGGCGCATCAAGTACCGCCGTCGCCGCGGTATGAATGGCGGCATAAGGAACACATTGAAGTAGTAACATCTGTATACTAGAAACATTCATTTGGGTATTTTACAGCATTTTGAAAGTGTTTTAAAGGGCTAGTTTACCCAAAAAAAACAACATTTACACACCGTTTCTTCATAAATGATGAATCTCTTTGCAAAACAAAGATATTCTAAAGAATGTTGTTGAAAAAATAGCCACTGACATACATAGCAGTAACAAAAAAAATACTATGGATGTCAATGACTACTTGTTTTGTTTTTTTGTTTTTTTCCAAAATTCATAAGTATATCTTAAACAGAATAAAGAAACCACAAAAAGATTTGGAACATATAGAAAGTGAGTAAAGGATGGCAAAATTGTATTTGTTTGTGTGTGAACTATCCCTATAAGATCCAGTCAGAGTCTTTACAAAACTTAGAAACATTTTTTTCTTTTTGATGCACAAACCCAAGCCTTAGTTTACCTGTTTGACGGCGTACAGCAGTCTCCCATAGCAGTAGACCATGACAAGCACTGGTAGTCCCAGGCAGAATACAAACAGACAGATGATGTAGGCATGAGACTCGGCCGTGCGCTGAGTCCATGATACAGAGCAGCTGGTTCCGGCACCCTCCAGCCCATAACTGCTCCAGCCTAAAAGAGGAGGCACTGTCCAGATCAGAGAGTACAGCCAGGAGCCTCCTACTGCCAGCAGAGGCTTGCGGTAGTCTGGAGCCCGTTTATGGTACACAGTCAATGTGCTGTAGCGGTCGTAAGAAAGAACCACCAAGGATATGAGAGAAACAATACCTAAGAGAGGGAAGAAAGGATACACAGTAAGGGATTGCCATCATATTTGGAGACTTCAGTCAGAACATGCTTAAATATTCCAAACAAAAGCACAAGTTGGTTTAAACTTCAATCTTGCTACTCTGCTTAGACATAAAAGGGTTTTTATTTTTGATAGCAATAGCCGTAATTGAAGTCAACTGCCCGTTTGAACATTCGCCAGATGATTTGTTTGTTCAGATGTAAAGAGTCGATTCTTTAGAAGCCCTGTTCAAATGAATCTTCAATTCACTTTGAGATAATTTGCTACAACTTGTAGTAAGAGAGAAGAGGAGGGGATAAGTCAAATCAAGCCTACGCACACACAGTTTACCTGTCTTGGGTAAATATAATATGTTTTGCCTTAAGTAAATGAACCAGTTAGAAAGCAACAGTGTTGTGCAAGTTACTTCTAAACTGTAATACATTACAAATTACTTGCTAATTAACATGTAATTAAGGGATGAAATACATCCTGGCAGTTGTTAATGCAGAAGGCGCCTTCACCTTCTGCATTAACAACTGCCAGGATGTATTTCATCAAACTTGGGTCAACAGCCTTAGCCACTAGGCTATAGGCACCTACAATATTTTATTAATCCTTTGAATAAATCCAATAAAAACAAGCTGATAAAATCAAAAATGGCTGACAGAAGCATACACTAACCTACATATAATACAGTCACAAGATGGACACCAAACAGTCAACGTGTGAAGGTACAAACTGACGATCCACATCGTTCAAAATCACCCAGATGAGCCTGTTTTATTAATTCCAGCAGTTGTTATCTAGGAATAACATGCCTTGGAATTTTGTGACTGACCAATATGAATCAAGTATTTCAAACAGCCTTGTAATAATGTTATTTAAAACACTGTAACAATTGGACTAAAAAAAAAAAACAGCATGCACACTGAGGTCAAGAGGCAAAACTTGTTTTGTTTTTAGCTGAATGGCAAACCGTGTTGAAAAAAAAGCTGAGTTTTTCAAAATGTAAGCTGTTAATATATTTTATTCATACACAACTAGATAATTTTGGAGTAGATAATTAATTTTGGAAAGCACTAAAGTAGACAGAAAGCAAGTTGAAATGAAATCTGATTAGTAAAGATATAGTCATAAAAATTGACAGATTTATTTGCAGATGCCATTTCAGTTTTGATATTTTGCAGTGGTGCTCAGACTATATTAAGCATGACGATAGTTTCCAATGACTTTCAGAGATTCTCATAAGCCTTGGTTGATTTGCTTTGATTTTGAATCCAGTGCTCTACTGAAGGCCAAGTCTTTAAGGTTGTAAAAGCGAATGTGCTTTCTCTGAAAAAAAAAAAAAAGCTTTGCTAGAGGTCTTCAAAGAAAAAGGCGCATAAGGACAAGAACTGTCATATCATATTTGTCACTTCAAGGCTTTTGCCACCACAGAAATCCCTTTCAGCTGTTTCATCCTTTGACCTTTCCAGTAGACACACACACACACACACACACACACACAAACATTGTTTATGGCTACATTTTGTGTCTTCGCTTCAACTTTTCTGTCCTTAGTGACTTTTTTTGCTCAGAAAGCCAAATCAATGAATTAGGACTGCAAGGTTGCGGTCGAAAAATAAAATAAAAATCACAGCATTTGTTCAATGTCATGTCTTTCATAAGAGAGTGTTAGTCTGGTTTCTCATTAATTATACAATCAATTCAATGTTATCTGCAAAGAAAAATTTATGAGCAACAACGGTTATGAAGCTCTCCAGTCTACACTAATTCCTCCCCATCATCGCTGACCAATAGACTCAAGCATAAGCCTTTCGAAAAATGAAAAATATATATGCACCAGATTGAACCAATGTCATCCCATTATCATAATGATGTAATTTCCATGAAAGCCTTGCAATTTTAGAGAAGTGACTACGAGTTCAGATCCCTCATGATCAGCAGAACATGAGAAGACTTAAGCCCTGGTCAGATCAAATGATTTTGGCACGATTTCCTTGACGTAGGGTGTCGTGGGTAGTCATAAACAACATTAAGGGAATCATGACACAAGATTTAGTAATTTCCTATCATGTAATGTGGCATAGTTCAACCAATGTCATGTCTGTGATGCCTCCTGACACCAATCGCAGAAAGTCTAGCATGTTTAATTTTTCTCCGATCTTCACGCTGAGCTCTGTCACTGTCCATAGGAGCACATCATTTCTCAGTTATATCTGTGGATGCTGCTGTTAATCTGTAGGTCAGGTTATCAAAAAACAGGCTGCATGTTTACTTATGAGTGGGTTCCACTTATGAGTGGAGGGTTCTTCTAAAGAATCTCGGATGGATACGATTGGTTTGACTTGATTCAAATAGAAAAATCATACACAAAACAATGCTTTAAACAAAATACTTTTAAACATGGTCGAAATGGAGTGGGATGCAGCACAGGCTTATTATTTTCCCCACCCCATTATCACAAATCATTCGTTTATTCAACTTATTTCTTCTTTTATTTATCTCTTCTTTTTTACATAAGACAAATGAGCATTACATGAGACTTATTTTATCATTTTGGCATCTTTGACAATATTTGTTATATATATATATATATATATATATATATATATATATATATATATATATATATATATATATATATATATATATATATATGTTGTATATTATTAAGTTATATGTTTAGTTCCATTTGTACATCGTTTTATAACATAGACTAAACAAATACGTAGTATTGCAAACAGCAATTAATTGAAATTTCACCATACCCTTCTCATATCATTCTTTTTCATTCCCTTATATTAATCACTAAATCCAATCCAAGGCTACTCCTTGAATACCATACTTTTCTAGTTTATTTATCAATATATTAAGATTTATTGTATCAAATGGCTTCTTTAAATCTAAAAAAAATTCCAACTACCAACTCCATTTTTTCCAGTTTTTTTGAAAAATGAGAAAGAATAGAAACTGGCCTATATGGTTTTTAGTTATGCAAACTTTATCTACTTTCTCTAAAACGTTAAAGTGTTTTAGGAAATTTTATTTGACAGACTGGAACAAATATGCAGACATCTTCATTCTCCTCCTCATTCTTCTCTCATCCTTTCAACCTAGTTCTTTCAAGGTAATCTGGAAACCCATTCAGTGCTGCTAATATATTGTAAAAGCCTGTTTTGCTTAAAATTGAAACTCATCAGCAATGGACGATTTTGTCAATAAAATGAAAAGTTTAATATGCAGTTAGGTCCATAAATATTTGGACATTGACACAATTCTAACATTTTTGGCTCTATACACCAATACAATTGATTTGAAATGAAATAAACAGGATGTGCTTTAACTGAGCTAACTTTTGTGAGCTAAACTTTAGCAGCTAAAGAGTTTTTGAATAGAAAGAAGTGAAAAGTTATGCAATGGTCAAGTCAAACACCTGACCTGAATTCGATTGAGCTTGTATTTTCACTTGCTGAAGACAAAACTGAAGAAAAAATGCCCCAAGAAAATGCAGGAACTGATGACAGTTGCTGTAGAGGCCAGGAAGAGCACCACCAAGGATGAAACCCAGCATCTGGTGATGTCTATGTGTTCAAGACTAAAGGCTGTAATCAACTGCAAAGCATTTGCCAACAAGTATTAAAAAGTATTAAAAATTTTATTTATAAGTATTATTTTATCCAACTACTTTTGGACATATACCAAGTGGGTGGCACATATGCAAACTGTATTGATTCCCACAACGTTCACCTGATTTGGATGTAAATACCCTCAAATTAAAGCTGACAGCTTGCAGTTGAAGCACATTTAATTTCAAATTCATTGTGTTGGTCTATAGTGCCAAAAATTCTCGAAATATGTCAATGCCCAAAAATGTAGACAACTAAGTTTCTCTGAAACTGTATATTTCATATATATATTTTTAGGCTAGATTTTATTTTTTTAACAAACCAGTTTGTGTTTTGGCACTGAAGCATATAGCACATTGGTTTCGAAGCACATCACCTCAGACTTCATACATTATTCTTGTTTATCTAGTGGATAACCGATTAAAACTAGGATACAAATTATACCAAATGAAAATATATATTTTATATTTTTCTTTGTGTCCATCCACTATTGTGTGGGTGGATGATTTGTTTCGGTCCGTGGAAAATAAGGATTTAACTAATGCTCCACTGTAATTGTTGTCTCACAAACCTCTGTCATATATTTGGTAATGTTTAAATATATCATTGTTTTGTCTTAAGCATTTGATTTTTTCCTCGGTGCTGATGTGCTTTCATTTTCTCTGTCTCACTCACAGCAAGTTCAGGTGAGGGTGGGTTTAATAAGCAACCCATGGCTAGAAAAAATACATTTAAATAAAAAAAATAATAAATTTTAATATTAAAAGGAAATATACATTCGATCCTATCAATGTCATAAAGAATGCCCTTAAATAACCAAGTTGTCCTTGCTTGCAACACTTGTCATTGCTTTGTAAAAAAAAATAAAAAATAAAAAAAAAACTCTTGTCATAGATGTCATGAGATGACCGATTGTGAAGGAACATGTAGTCTGGCATATTTGTTACTCACAACAAGTCAAGATTTTATCATGACAAAATCGCATAATCTGACATAGTGACTTTCGTAACCCACAATAAAAATAGTGTGATCTGATCAGGGCTTTAATTGTACTGAAGTCGATTATTTAACAGATGCTTTCATTCAAATCAACAAATGAAGAATACACTACAAAATTCATGCTTAGAATTAAAGAGTGGCCCTGAGAGGTTAGATTTAAAAGCAACATGTTGTTAAATATCAATGAGTGAGTGATTTGCGTATCCTTCCACATTCAGTAGACAAAAGCTTTATGCGCTAACTAACTCTGGGCTATCCCATCATGTTCACATTTCTGCAGTATTTTTCAATAATTTTAGAAAGACTGTCAAAATACGACAAGTTGAATGATCGGTTCGATTTATGCAAGGGTGATGGAAGGAAAAGCC